GGGGGTGGTGTCTCGGGTGGCTCAGGTAGGTGGCCAAGAGTGGCTCGGTATAGACGGGGGGGGGGGGAGGGGCGGTGTCTCGGGTGGCTCGGGTGGCTCAGGGGGGCGCAGTATAGACGGGGGGGTGGTGAAGCGGGGGGGGGTCCAGAACCGGCTATTTCATACTACTTACGTACGATAGAAATAATATATTTCAAATAGATTATCATTTCTGGAGACGCACAATATAATATTACATCGCGTTTAATGTCTTGTACGATTCGTTTATTTCTAGTTCACGTCTTATTCATATTTATTTTAAAATTCTTCTGTGTGATTTTCAGTGGGTTGGTTTTATGCCTGAGCCACGCGCGTTATATATAAACATATATTTTTTACACTTTTAGAGGTATTTTCTTGTGTCGAAAAATTCTTTATGTAAGATAGAAAGTATGTTCAATCATATATACATATTTTTTCTATATTTATATTTTTTAGGTTGCGTAAGCAATCGATCAGAAATAATGTCACGCGTAGATTGTACTTTCGAGACCCGGTCTTAATTTTCCTCAAGAAAAACCATATTTTACCTATATTCTATAAATTATTTTTATACCAACCTATGGCAGCACGTCATAATATTATGTTATAATAATATATCGCCTGAATGTGAAACGCGTACGGTACCGAATCTCGATATGACATTAAAGATTTATTATTGTATCACCGCTGTTACATAATTCAGAATTATATTTATTATAATAAGTCATTAACATCTCGTAAGTTTACCGTATACTACACAGTACACGCATTAACATAAACTTCTATGTATACCATACACGTCATGCAGAATCATAATATATATATATTATATAGATATGCGTTTCAGTATTAAATTTGGGCGCACACTATACATTTTTATAATTGTGGTTTTCCGTTGGCGGGCGCGTTGTATAGGCAATTTTGATACATTACAGGTGTAAATTTCCAGGACGATAACAAACTCGTGAATTTAAAATTGCATGACAACGGCAATTTTATTTTTGCCACAATATATTAATATAGTATTCTGTACGGTTATATCAATATCGATACATTATTCAGTTATATAGATTACCGGAAACGCCATTTCGACGTTCGACGAATTGTAATAGAAAAAAACGAGTCTATACTGACGGTTATCAAATTCCTTTTTCGTTGGTCTTAACTGTAGATGAAAAATATGTAAAGGAAAGTATTTTATTAGATATGAATATGAGTATGTTCTGTTAGTTTTTGATGTGTGTTTAATGTGAGCGGGGGATGATAAATGTGTCGCGTTACAAACAAAAGTACTACCCGTATAAAGCTGCCACTCCTCCGAATAACTATGTTAACGTGGCGGGAAGCCGGGACCGCGTTCGTACACTTACGTTTATGCGTTATGATTATATTATATTCGTTTGTCTATAAGGCGTTTGACGCCACTCTGTCTCGTTTTGTATATCTAGCGCACATTATTTGTATACGAACAGAAACAGGTCTGTGGGGACCTATACGAAAATGTAAGAACAAAAATCCAGCGCGATGTCTTATCGTTTTCTTGGCCCATTTTCACTTGTCCTACAACGCTACTGCAGTGTATAAATAATATATAATATGCAGAAACAATGTGTCGGTTTCGTAGTATATATAGTACAACCAACACATAGGTACACGTATATTTGTTATATTAATGTGTGTGTGTGTGTGTGTGTGTGTGTGTGTGTGTGTGTGTGTGTGTGTGTGTGTGTGTGTGTGTAGGTAGGTAAACGATGGGACAGATTTTCATCGACTTCCGAAAACATATTGTAATAATATAAATTGTATACGATTTGTGAAGCTTACAATATGTGTGAGACTCTCAAGCGTGTACTCACAAGCGCTCACTTGAATTCCGCCCCTCCCCTAGCACTGACGCCAACACTTCCCCCGCCGACGTGTCTGTTAACCCCCGCGTCTGTGAGTACGTTTTTTCGTTCTTTATACAGGTAAACACGCTAACAAGTTAACGGAATATGTCAGGTCAGGCGTTTTAATTGTGTTGTGTCTGCAGAGAACGCATCCACGGTGTGTGTGTGTGTGTGTGTGTGTGTGTGTGTGTGTGTGTGTGTGTGTGTGTGTGTGTGTGTGTGTGTGTGTGCGCGCGCGTGCGGGGAATGGTTGACCTTTTCCACCTGCACGCCGTCAGCGACGCATGTACATTTATTGCTTTTATTATTTCTATTATTATTACTGTTTTTGTTGTTGTTGTTATTTTTACGATACCTATAAAGCTCGTGTTCTGAGAATAATTACTGTAATAACTTAAACATATTATTATATTATTTGATACAATTTCGTTGAGTATTACTGCTGGGTATTACTCCCCTCAAGCATTCCACGTTAATAGTATCTTTCGCGCATATGCTTATTGTAAAAATGCTACATATTGTATATACTCTAATAAATGCTTAAAAATAAAATTAAAATAAAGTATGATACAATAACGGCGAGACTTGTCGCCGGTCCAATTTTTATTCGACATGAGGGTTAACTTACAAATCTCTCGAACTAGACGGCTCGTGGTCTTCGTGTTCTTCCGACGACATGACGATCGTCGTGTCCAGGCCTTGTTGTTGGGCAGCGGTCATCACCTGGAATCACGTACCAAAAAAAATTTTTTAATTCTGTGCAGACACACACACAGTTGAAATTTCGAAACACAATATTGTTACGTATATTTCGAGTATTATGAGTTATTAATTCGTATCGCATTGTTGGAGGTTTACAGTGCTCATTCCTGAATGACAATAGTTCTATTATATCATTCTGCTTCGGTAAATTGCATTAGTATATTGAAACACGGTAATTTAAAACCAACGCTTCGTTTACACTACCATGCACAAGTATAATAAATAATAAAATATATAATAATATGCTTATGACTTTTTCGTTTGCCGTCGTAATATTTTTTAGGAGTTGAGTTTTTTTTTTTGGTTTATAATTAAATTTTGGTTTAGTACTTTTGCGAGCGCGTAAATTAATAATTATTTATATTTATTCATTTTATCAAGGTATCATTCCCAGGAATCATTCATTTCGATTTTTCGTATCCTAGTGGTTGACTTTTCATCCCTTTTGGATAAAAAAAAATATAAGTTATAGAATGAATAACACTCGATGATGAATCACTCCTCAATGTCGGTTAAATGCTGTATATATATATATATTTAACAACCCCTCTTCTACATTACGTCAACAAATCGTTGTATCGGACAAAACATGGTTTATGTGATAGGGAGGGCTCCGTTAATAAAGTCTAAAATATCACAAATTAAATTTCTCAAAAATCAATGAAAAAATCTTCTATAAAAATATTTTTGACACCGTAAGAAATAAAAAAAAAATCATTTATCAATTTTACCACTAAATTATGAGTGACATTGAACAAGGAATATTATTAAAAAAATTACTACGTCTATTAATTTTACCATAATTATTATCATTGAGTTATAAATTAAGATTCATATGATTGACTCAGATAACGGCATTTATTTTTTCAGCCATTTTTTGTTCTTAAAATCTTAAGAGATGTATTCTTATATCATTCTGCCTTTTATATTGAGTTATTTAAATTGACAATTTATTTTATATTTCTTAATGAATACATTTTTTTTCAATGTTAGATTATGTTCTGTTTATATTTAGTGTTGAGTTATAATGTTAATTAACTGACACCAATGATTGAAGTGGTACATTTTAGTTATTAAAAATATATTTCACGTCATAATTAATAATTTATGGTATGTAGCTTGGAAGTGATATTAGAATACAAGTTCATTAAGATCAGTACTATTCAAAAGTTGATAAGACGGCGTTCCGTATATGCAATATTACTACATTGGTGTGTAGAAGGAGAAAATCAAACGTAAATAATACATAGGTAAATTTGGTTTTCCCATCAATGAATAATATTTATCTACCTCCTGACTTATTATTGAAAATTTGCTATCAACATAAATATGTTTTTGGGCTGCATCATAGACCTTATACTTATAGACAAGGGATGAGGGTATGGAAAGCGTAATAATATAGAGGGCGCTTTTTTTCTCGATTACTTGTATGCATAGTAGTGCGATTTAGTAGGGTATAATATTATATAGATGTATAGATTATTGTATTTTGTCGTCAAGACAAGCTAAATCACTGAGAGATGTTGTTACGCCGCTCATAATTCTGTTCTTATACACAGTTCTTGTCTAGTAGTATAAAGTTAATGGACAATGGGCTGGATACAAGATTTTTGTTTTCGACCGATTTTCGTTGTCATGGTTACTTATGAACAAAAAAATGTTTATGATTCATAGATTTAAGTTCTAGAGCTGGCATGTAAAACTCAAAGTATTGACTGGGCCATATGTAATATTGAATAACTTACTATGCGGACTGCACATAAAAATTTATCGAAAAAAAACATTTCATACAAATTTTGTATTTTATTCATTATATTTATGTACAATACTATACAATGCTTATTCAATTACAGTTTATCATAAAATTAGACAGAATAGTAACATAATCTATACCTGTCACTATTTATATAGTTATGGAACGAAAGGAAAATTGTCAACATTTTTTATATTCATTTTTTTTAAAAATTAATTGTTCATATTGTTTGACATGCTTGTTCTAGAGGAAAAGTTTAGAGTATGGGTTTCCTCGAAGCTTTCGATGTAATGCTAACAAATTCTTTTCATGGTTTTAAATAAATACATTAAAAAAAAAAAAACTCATGATTTATTTAAATTTGGTTAGTGTCTATTTAGCCACGTATACTCATGCGTTGGCTTACTTAAAAATGTTTTTTTTTTCTTTATTGTGCTTTAATTATATTTGATACATTAAAATGATCGTTATATAATTTCAAAATTTTTATTACATTTATTTTGTTTGCCAAATTTGTTTGTAAAGGGAAAAGGTTAATATTTATCAAAGAAGATACTTACACGTTACACGCCAATTTTTAAATTCGTAACTCACATTTTTTATGATATGAGTACTCGTTTTAATTGGAAATGCTCTATTTTTTTACATTTTTATTTAACTTGTTATTATAATATTTATATTCAGAATTATTTCGTCTTACATAATTAGGTATAAATATGGTATAACAAGTATGATTCTTACTATTATTGTTAGTGAGTGCGTTTGTGTGTTAATAGATAGATACTAGATACCCCATATAATATATATGTGCATAAGTTTATATATGTGAGCCACGTTTTGGTGTTACGATATTTTATGAATATTTTAAATTTAAGTATATGTTAACATAAGTGTCATCGGTGGGTGGCTTCTTAGCTCATAATTTCATGTTTTTTTATTGTGTCTCAGCTCATACTCTTATTGTGCCGATTGTGTACAGATTGTGTATTACTAAAAAAAAAAAAAAAAAAAAAAAAAAAAGTATATGTTGAAAATGTATGTTGTAATAAGTCCTTTTAGATTATGGTCGCCGAGTTTTTTTTATGGATAAAAAATAATAGTTATAAATCACATAAGTCTGATAAGTTTTCAGATATAAAAATTAAAAACCATTTGTAAATACACGAAGTGCAATAACTTAATGTGATGTTTTTAAATACAACAAGTTAAAAATATTATACAATTTTATAATAATTGTTCAATAAGTACCTTAATGGGGCAGGAAGAAAAGAGGAAGTATGTATAATACACACAGTACACACACACATACATAGAATATTACATTTATGTGGATATTAATCATTCAATTTATTGTATATCACTTTTTATAATTAAAACATACCTAACTAAAAAAAATATAACAACAACATCTGTGTAATAAATTAACACTATCATTTATTATTTTATTTTCAATGATATTATTATCACGTGTTCGATTTGATGTGTTATAAATCATAAGGTTTGTGATATTGTATTAAGTTTATGGAGACTTTATTTACGATTTTGCCTTATTTTGTTTTTTATTACACCCAAAAATGGAACATAAAAGTTTTTGACTATGAGATTTACTAAAAGGCCACTATACTTTAAAAGGGACTTAGAAAGTATGTCTGTTTTATTATTCCTGTACGTCGACCTAACCATCGACGAAAAGGGTGACAGTATGAATGAAAAGTTCAACGATCAAAAATGTAATATACTTTCCTTTATCATCAAGGAATATTTGTCTATTTATTTTTGTTGCACATAAAGTGTTTTTCTTAAATTTCACGGTTAAATATGGTAACGCTATGTTAATAAACTATTTGATACACCATTTATGTACATTTGTACTTATGTATAAAATATACTTATGCATAATTATTTTATATACAAACCCCGGGCGTGAATCATAAGAATATAATTATTATTAAACACGCTCAAGTATTGCGCATACAAATATTTCCATGTTAAATGATTATATTTTGGTGTCATTGTTTACTTTTCAAAAAATAAAAAATTTTATTTTAAATTTTATATTCAATGTTTGCAATAGATATTATTTAATAATGATCAGTTTAAAAATATGTGTTATTATTTTTTCCGTTTTATTCTAAGATTGCATATTTTATGTAAATTAATAAATTGTATTTTTACAAATTATCTGTATATATTTATAACTGTTTATATTTTAATACCGAGTGTACAAAGTTAATGTGGCTAACAAAACAAGTATTAAAACCATTAGTATGAATTTTTATGAGTTATATGCTTAAGATATACTATGATACTATTGATATACTATACCAATTCTTAATTCGTATTGAAGGTTTAATGATATAGTATTATTCGAAGTATATATTACTTTTATACTTTACTTTTTGACTCGATTAAATAAATATAGAGTGTTATCAACAATTTGTATATTATATTACGTGGAACGCAGAGGTTAGAATAGCTTTATTTGTCTCCAATTATGTTATTGGGTACACTTGTACAAACTTATAGGACTTTTATAGTTTTATCTTTGTTGGTTTTAGTTCCTACCTAATTTATTATGTTGTTGTATTAATATTTTTCGTCGTAAATTTATTTTTAATATTGTTGCAGAATTTCTTGTATGTTTTATAACTGATACAATTATTTAAGTATAGGTATTAGGATATATTATTTTTCACCAAAATTAGATATTTAAGAGTTTAATATTTTGAACAAGACGATTTATAGACTTTTCGGACATATTTGCGTACAATTAGAAAGTCGTGTTTATAAATGTTAATTTCACATCTACTGTCTGTACAATATTATATTGTCATTCGAATTGTTGACATCGCAAAATATTAATAGATTTTCACAAAGTCTGAATAAATGTACTTAATGTAGAAATGTTCTATATCAAACTTTTCGCGTTATTAAGAATTTTGTTCTTTGATCTTTGAACTTATATATCAATTGGAATATTTATGGAAATCAATCTTCCGTTCTTGGACTTGTTTATGTAATCCCTCTAAACTAATTTAAATTAAACTTATATAATAAACCCTTTTCGTAGATGTTATATTACAAACATTATTAAGTCTTGAGTATTTTGGATATAAATTCCTTGAATTATTTATTTATTAGTTTTTTTTTTAGGAATAGTTTTTATGTCATACCTAAATGTTCTTATTCATTTTAACGTTCTACGAGG